CCCTCCCTTTTAGAGGAGCATGTATGAGTTTGAGTGCTTCTGTTATAGTCAAAAGAATCTCTTCACTATGAAATTGTGTAGGAACACCAAATGTAGGTGAGAAAATGGCCAATGTGCACCTTGACAACGCAGGTAGCCTTAAATAAGTTTTGCATGAATGTCTCTAAATGACTGCACTTGAACTTTCGCCAGCAACTGAATTTTACTAATTAATAAGGATGTCTGGTAACTTTAACACTAATTAGTGTGATATGTTGGCTTGGAGCTCCTTGGAAGAATTCCTGGGGAGGCAAGAAGGGGTACTTGTGGTTTGTTGACTGACTGCGATGTTGGGCCTATGTTGTGTTGACTAAGTGCGACATTATTGGTGGAAACACAAACTGAACCTGCCATGCCTGAGTAGTGTAAGGTCCACCCATATCAGGACAACTCAATTTCAACTTTTTCCTTTGACTTTAGAAATGATAAACCTTTGGAATTTGTTACGGTCAGTTTTATAAACTGAGCAAAAGTATTTGTGAAAGTATATCCAAGTACAGTTCCAGTACTTGCAAACCCAACCCTTAAATGTAAATAGTAAGAACCGGATTATATCATGGTGGTGCAGCAGATTAGTGCCAAGCAGTGCACTGTGCCACAGGATTCAAGTATCTGTTTCACTGACTGGATTTTTCAGTTTGCCCCTAAATCTTGAAACTGCATTTGTTTGATAGCACTTGCTGAGTGCTTGCCTAAGAAGTTAATGATTACACAAGCTTATGTTCCATGTGTGGGATTTTGATTAAGTGCCACAACCCCAAACTCTTTGAATGTTAGATCTTTGCAGACCAGAAGTTCAGACTTGTATTTGGAAAACAAATTGGGAGGGTTCTTATGTTTTACCACAAATAGTGGTTGAAGCTGCATAACTGCATTTAAAGGGTAGTTATGCAGTGCCATCCTTCCAATGCCAAGTTGAACCATTCCAATGACAAGTTGAACCAGAGTCCGTATCCTTGGCAAGAATCCCCCCGGCAAGAATCATTTAAAGAATGTTGTGGGACATCGATTACTATATGCAAATTGGCAGTTGTGCTCAACTAGTTATATACTTTACATAGCAAGTGTATTTAATAATCCGTGCGTTTTTGATGTAGCCTTTCACGTTAGGAGGGCACCTTTCGGATTTTGTGTGAAGTGCAGTGACTGCTTTTTGTGGCTGTCCCACAAAAGGTCATGAATTGAGTGATCATTTTATCCTCAGATTATTGGCGATATCTCCAGGACAAATTCTCTTCTTTCTTCATTTGATGAGATATTAAATCAAATGCAAGGATTATTATAATCTTGTTCCTAACTAACACCTGAGAGGATCGATATCCCATTATTTCTCCCATCCATGCTGAGTTCTCAGAATTGCTTTTAAATAGCAAGCAAATCTCGTGGTCAGTTTACATTCACAACAAGCTGATTGTGGTAGAAATACTTATCTAAAATTGATTGGACACTTGCAGAGTAGGTTTGTTGGAACTGGAATCTCCGTGGGTCTAAAAAGTTAATCTACAGCTGAATCTGCTTTTTTTTTTTAAATGGCCTTGAAATTAGTCCAGAAAAATGTTTGTTTCAAGGACTATCAAACTGCTTATCTATCATATTAGGCTGGAACAACTTTAAAATTTAATTTAAAATTAGCAATTGGCTGTCGTATTTTGCCCACACTAAAAACAGTCAATTCACTTTACAATATATTCTGTGGTGCTTTGAGAGGTCTTGAAGTCATGATAAGGTACTATATTAAATGCAAGCATTATTATTATTTTAAGCTCTTTGACCAAGATTAGTAACTGAGGTATTGATAAATTGTTTACTAATGCTGAAACGGTTAGCTATTTTGGCTTGTTGATTTATCCAGCAAATCTATACTGGTATTAGACTTCCTAGATCAATAAACCTTACCTTTGGGCATTTGGATTGGGCTCTTAATTAATCCTGCATCTTTTGAAAAGTGCTGCTTTTTAGCTTGTATGTAAATGTTTGCATGATTCTTATAAAAACTTGATGATTATCTTTATTTCAGCTTTTAACTTTTTTTTTAAAAAAAGGGACTATCTGAAGTTGAGCACTTTTTTGAATGAGTAGTCAGAAGCACTTCACTTTTGAAGAATGTTACGTGACTCAGTTGATAGTGCACAGGTGACATTTGGGGGTTGCATCTGCACTACGGAGCAGCTTATGTACCATATTAGGCTGGAACGCCTTTAAAAGTTCTATTCTTAGGCTTCAGATTGGTTCATGCCCCCTTAGGCCTGCTTGACATTGAGACTGCTCTAATATGCACCAGGTTAATGGACAAAATGCTTGCCTTTCAAACTCTTGTGTTTTTATTTTTGAATTTATTCTATCCAAGTTTATTTCGTAACCACATGAGGATGGCATAAACTATACTACACTTCCTGTCCTGTATAAGAAGAAGGAGGGAAAGCACTTACATTCTAGGGTATTTTATTATGGAGCTTTTACTGTATGCTTGAAAACAATGTTTGGCAAATTGAGGCAACATTTACCTTCTGTCCAAAATGTGTTGCTTTTTTTAGCTGTCAAGCTTCATTGGTGCAGCAGTCTATTATTGCTGAATTTAACTGAATAGCACTGCTTTACCAGCTGCACTTGGTAAATGGCCAGTTGGCAAATCCTGTTGTGCTGAGCATTGTTTTCAGTGGAGGACTACTTTATTAGGCAGCTATATTGAAGTGCCAATGGGCCAATCCATTCAGAGAGCACATGGCTGAGAAAGCTTTTCTTGCCATACTCCCTCCTAAAGTTGTCGTCGTCTCTCTCCCCCCCCCCCCCGAGGTATCATCTGCCCTACGGTGCCTTGTCCAAATGACCATTCTTCATGTGGGCGAGCTGGGTGTATGTTGGCAGATGAGACTGGGAGGGATCGTAGTTGAGCCCTATTCCGTCTTGTGCTGCTTTCTAACCATCCACTGGGTACGTAGGAACAGGAGGAAGCTGTTCAGCCCTTTGAGGCTGTTCTGCCATTTAATTAGATCGTGGCTGATCTGTACCTCAACTAATCCTTTCAATTCCAGGGTAGCTTGCAGAAGTGTTCAATTAGTTTATTCCTGGGGCCAGTTGCACTCATCAGTTACCTGCCACAGAGCAGCACTGATGGTAATGGGTTTATTACCCTATGAATGACTTCCTATACTAAATATTTCCTTCAGAGACTGAAAAGCCTGACTACCAGGTACAGTCCACTGGTGAGCAAGTATGCATTTTATGAATATGTATGAGTTTCCAGTGGCGAGTGAGAGGGGTCGCTGGCTGGTCAAGATTTGGAATCCAGGCTTCCCTGGTAAATAATGAAAACCTAACTTGTCTTTTTTAAATAAAAAAAGCTAACTGATTGAATGATACTTTCTGATTTCCAGTGATGCTCTACCAGTCCCTGGAGTAGTAGATTATACAGCAGTTTATATAATAACAAAACTTGCATTTATATAGTGCCCTCCATGCCGGGTGACGTCGCAGAACACTTAACAATGGTGGAGTCCAATGCAGGGGGAGGGGGAAGGTGACCATAGGCACAGTCAAGGAGGAAGGTCTTCAGGTGCAACTTGAAAATGGGTAAAGAGGGGGCAAGAAGGGGGAAAAGATTGAGAGAGGAAGTTCCATAGCTTCGGGGCACAGAGACTGGAGGCACAGCTGCCAATGGTGGAGCGGAGGATTCGGGGGGAAAGGAGGAAACTGGAGCTAAATTGTGCATTGTTCAGAGTTTTAAGGACAGATTGGGTAGGTTGAGGAGGTCTGAACCACGGACCTGAGATGTGGCTTCCGTCTTGTTGATTTTAACTGCAAGAAGTTTGTGCTCATCCAGTGCTTGATGTCTGTCAGGCAAGCTGACAAAACATCAGAGGACTGGGGGGTCGCAGCTGGAGGAGAAGTAGAGTTGAGTGTCATCCGCATATGTGTGGAAGTTAACTCCATGACTGAGGATGATATCACAGAGAGAGTATATAGGAGGAAGAGAAGGGGTCCAAGGATGGAGCTTTGGGATACCCTGCAAGTGACCAGGTGGGGGCGAGAAGAAAAAACATTTGCGGAATTGTAGTGCTGGCAGTTTGTAAGATAGGACTCGAACCAAGCGAGTGTGGTCCTACTGAGGAGGATGATGGAGGAGAGGCAGTGGAGGAGGATGGCTTGATTGACTGTGTTGAACACAGCGGAGAGGGACAGGAGGATAAGGAGGCAGAGGGAGAATAATCCTTGCATTTGATATAGCACCTTATGTCATTGAGATGTCTTGCAGCATTTCACAGGATATTCCGTAAAGTCAATTGACTATTTTGTGGGCAAAACACGGCAGCCAGTTTGTGCATAACAATGTCCCATGAACAGACATGGAGTAATTAATTTTATTTGGGGATTTATTGGTCATAGGTCCACCTGAATAGACCGATGGGACTTTGTTTTAATGTTTCAACCAAAGAATGGCACATCTGACAATGCAGCACACCGTAGCACTGCATTGGAGTATCAGCTTAGACTTTGTGATTTCAAGTCCTGATTTGCGGCTTGAACCGACAACGTTCTCACGAGAGAGAAAGAGAGACTAAACCAGGCTGATTCCTTACTAAACCAGTAAGGCTCCTTACACTTGGAGTGTATCCTGATTTCTAGTGGTTCAAGTGTAAGAAGGTGATTTGGGAGCTTATTCTCGTAGACTTTTTTTTTTCCTTGTTCCTTTTCTCCTCCCCCCAAAGACCTTTGCACCATTTGTCTGAAACTTGTATTAGCTTGAATTGTCGCCATGGGCAAGTTTCAAGTGAGCCACTGAGAAATGCAGATTCAATTAGTATAAAAATGATGCTATCTGGGTAAGCCAAGTTACTTAGTCCTGTACTGCTTTGATAAAGTAGCTGGATTTGATGTCGATATTTACTATTGTACTATAGTAACGTGTTTTGTGAAGTATTTTTCTTAATTCTTTGCTACTCACAATTGCTTCTTTCCCTTAGATCACAGTGATAAGATCCCACAATGGCTCTGCGATTCCGTGCCGTCTTTCCGTATACTCTTCCCGGGGTACTGGCACTCCTCGGCTGGTGGTGGTACATCACAAGGAAGAAAGGGAGAGAAAATAGCCCTAAGAGACGAAAGCTTGATGACGAGCAAGAACTGAGCAATAAAGCTGGAGGTAGCTATGTGGCTGTGTCGGATTGTAAGTGTGCTAATGCAGCTGATGAGCTAACTAATGGAAGCGAGCCCAAGGAGGATGAAGTGGTGGTGCCACAGTTGGTAGTGTCTGGTCTGCAAGCTGAAACACTGCGGCAGTTAGATGCACCTGGAAATGCTTTGTGCACATCACCAAGGTGCCTTGATACCACTGTGGTTGTGGAAAATGATGTCCAAAATATGCTTTTGGAATCATCCAGTTCACAAGAATTGCTCTTCATGTCTAATGTGCAAGGGCCGTTGCAAACGTCCCCTAAAGTTGAGGTAGAAAGGCATCTCCAGGAAATGATAGCTAAAATTAGCACTGAAGGGTTGGAAATTGCTCAGACTTCAGCAGGCACAGCCACTGAGGGTACTTCACCTGTTGCAGATTTGGAAGCGGAAGAGAAAAATAGCAAAATTTTACTAAACTCTGGTTCGGTGCCTACAAAATGCGAGCTACCAGTCTCTGATCTACACAGCATGGAGAGGCCTGAACCTGAGGGTGAAATTGCAGGCAACACTACAGAGCCACAGTCTTGCTTCAAGGCAACTCTGAATGCAAGCGCAAGCCCATTCTTGATCACTAGTGCTTTCTGTCCAGAGTTGCAGCTGGAAAACCAGCCTGGTAAAGAGACTTTTTTTGGTGAAAACTGCTTGCATGATGATTCGGTTGAAAAACTAGCAAGTCTGGAAAAGATTGAGGAAGTGGCTGCAGAACTGATTTCAGGGGTTATAACAGCAGCGAAAGAGGAACTGCTCTCCTCGCAGATTAGTCTCTGCAAAGAGAGTGAGCATGATGCTGGATCTGATGAAACAAAGGAAGGCAAGTTAGGAAATTCAGATCTCTGTATAGCAGGTTTACAGAAGACTGAAGATGTTGAGGAAGACAACCGAATAGACGGTAGAAGCAGACATACCTATGGAGAGAATTTGGCATTTAAAACTGAAACTGCTCTGAAGGAGTTGAGCCAAAAAGAGGCATTTGGGGATATTACAGATTCAGGGCATGAAAGTCTTAGCCAGACTTTCACAGAGGAGCTCAACTCTTCCACACTAAGCAGCAAGGCTTCTGAAGAATTCAATCCAAAGGCAGATGATTCGGGCTGCTTTGCTAGTTATTCTGATGGTCAAGCATGTGAAGGCTTAAAGAACCAGGTGGCTTTGTGCACCCTAGAAAAAGACCAAGAGGGTGTGCTGGATGAAACTGTGGTTGCCCAAGTGTGTGAAACTATCTGCAAGGAAACACTCGACTCTATAATAGACATTTCCTCAAAGAAATCTGGTACCAAAGGCAGCGTCTCTAGTGATTTGATTGAAGTTGCCTTCCAGGGTGTGGATCTGAACTTCACAGAAGAGCTGAAGCCTACTACAAATGGAGAGTCTTTAGAAGAAGTAAACCTAGGAGCTGAGGATTCTGGCTGCAGTGCCTGCCCATCAGAAGATGGTGCTGGAGGAGAAGATCTGCTGCATAGCACAGCTAAGTGTAGACTGGAAAATCATCAAGTAGATGTTTTGACTAAGTCTGTGGCTGAAGAGGGTTCTTGTGTGCTGGAGTCGGCCTATGCCAATGGAGCAGGAGCTGATCGCAATGGTGGTCGTTTGCCACTTGAAGTGGAAGTTGATCATTCTGGAGGTAATAATAATAATCCTGGCATTTGATATAGCGCCTTATGTTTTTGAGATGTCTTAACAGAAAATACTGTAAAGTGAATTGACTGTATTTTTATGGGGAAACGCTTTGAAACGTAATGGTTTCAGGAGTGAAAATTTTGTTTAAAACCATTTGTCTATAAATGCTTCATGAATTATGGCTTTTGGAAGATGGCAACAGTTCAATTCATGTCAATCTGGCGCCCATAGAATTGTATTGAATGTACATATTTGCCATAAGTGGGATTCCCAATGGGTTGCTGTGGGCTGATTGCTACTTCACTTAAGTGAATCAATTAACTTGAGGGAAGATGAGTAAGTGAATGCCCAAAGTTTCTTATTTTCTTTACCAATTGCATGTTACTTAATTGACTAATATATATATATATCTATGTGTGTGTGTGTGTATATATATATATATATATATGGCTTGCATGGAGTGTTTTTGACTGGTGTGGATTATGACTGCATTTTTGCTGTAAAATGAATTAAATTATGGGTTGTGTTAATAATAATAATCCTTGCATTTTATATAGCGCTTTTCATGTCTTCTAGATGTCTCAAAGTGCTTCACAGATGCTTTTTGGGCAGCATTCATTACAGCTCTCCACACTACTGTTTTTCTGATCTCTGTCTGGTGGCCAGAAGGTGATCACTTGTGGCAAAAGGCATAGGCTATAATCCCTTCTCTGGCAGCAGGGTTGCTTGGCATGTGCCAGGGTGTGCTGCCTGACCTGAGATTCAGATTAAAATTGTAGTTTGCCAATGAGTCGTTCCTTCAAATTGCAGAGCAGATTGCTAAACTGGAAAGGACAAGATGACAGATTTAATCAGAATGGTTGAGCTAGAAAAGGCATTGTATCAGGTTTGTGATGGTGGAAGCCTAATTGTTCCAGTTGTAATGTGGACTTCTGTGGTTGATCATTTGGGTTTTTGTTTCAACTTGAATCCTGGCAACCCTGATGGTATTGTGAATTGAGAAGTAACATCAGCTTATTGATTTGAATTGTGGTTTGGGTTACATTACGAGACTAAATTGGTTCCTGGCCTTCCCAAGGTTGGGTGGGGAAAACAACTTTGAGACATTGATAGTGTGGAGCAGCTGGGGGAGAGAGCAAGCTCTTTTGTACACTCTCTTAAAGTCTTGTGGCATGCTAACATTCTCTGCTCAGGCATTGCACATGAATAATGGCAATTTGGGTAATGTACCAGAACACAATCAGTCAGATCACAGCCTAGCATGAGGAGGCCAGACGCCAAGAGGTACATGCCATTGGGAGGACATTAGAATGACTGGCTGCACTATTTTATTATACTGTATTTAGGGGTGTTACAGTAATTTCCAATCGATGGTCTTGTCAAAAATGAGCAAAATTGTTTCTAGCCTATTCAGTACTTAAAACCATAAACCTCTAATGTCAGGGGAGAACCTGTTTAGGGATCCCTTACCATTAATTGGATTAGCATTCAAAGACTTCATGGGCTGCTTACTTCCTGACCAGGGATTACTTGAATCTATCCGAAAAGGATTTTAACTAAGAGTGCAATTATCCTTTGTCTTTTTTCAATACAGACCTTTTTCTTGTGCCACTTAATATTGTCCAGACAAGTGTTTGGGAATAGTCACTATGTGCCTGGCATTCTTCAGTGCCTTCATCTGAGATTGGTACTCAAGTAGATGATTGTGATTCAGAAGTTACATAAAATGTGGGTTGTGCTGTACAAATGTCCTAATGTTTTCTTGACCACCATGTGCTTATTTTACTAAAATCAGTCTACCATTGCATTCATTTTCTAGGTTCTGATGTAAATAGTATGGATTCAAATGACAGTGGCTGCACTGCAGGCGGAGCAGAGGGTCAAACCAAGGGTAGTACTGTATTCAGTGCAACACAAGATAAAACAGAGCTAGCCATCTGGGAGATACAGGTGCCAAAGGTAAAACTACTAACTTTTCAATTGCTCACTTTAACTAGGTGATTTGAGATAGGGTGGCGTGTGGGGATGGGGGGTGGGTGTACAAAAGCAGTGCTTCTTACGAATGTCATGTGCTGAAGAGAATCTGTAGCTTTGGATTTTTTTTGGTTTAATTTCTCTATATTTAGTGCAAGCCAGTCACTATGTACTGGAGAATGAACAGGCCTACTAGATGAGAATGGTCTGTATGTATTTGGCTAATGTCTCAATTTAGACATTTTTATGCAGCTATCATCAAGATAAATTTTCTTTAACTTGTTTGTTTTAAGACCTGCCCTGTGTCTAGAATTTGTTTGCCTGATAGCTATACTGTAATCATTTGGAAATGCATTGTGGCCATCTTGCGGTACGATGTTGTAACTGCAGTAAGTGCCCATTTATGTCACAAGCTAGTTTCAGGCACTTGAAAGTGAGATAATCCATTCACCATATAGTGTACAATAATGGAACTATCATTCTTCCTACAATCTTTTGGGCCGTACATTTGTCACATTTAATGCTCAATCTCTGTTGGAGGTTTCACTCTTGCAGAAAGTCATTTGAGAAGAATGCTCAGTTTAAATGTAACAAATCTGATTGCTCAGATAGTAGTTTTTATCTTCACAGCATCTAGTTGGACGGTTAATTGGCAAACAGGGAAGATCTGTTAGCTTCCTGAAACAAACCTCTGGTGCCAAGATTTACATATCTACACTGCCTTACACACAAGACTTCCAGATCTGTCACATAGAAGGTAAGCCAAGAACAATTTTGTGTTGGCTGGCTGGTCTGTTACTGTGCCTAGAGTACTGCACAGTATATAATTCAGGAACCGAGTGACCAAATCTACCATAGAGAAAACAAATGTATGTCTTGATCTTTAAACTGACCTGTGTGTGCATCATAACATCTTTGGGTGTTCAGTCCAGCGTGACACCATACGTTACCAAGAAGACATCCAATTTAAAATTCTATTAAATGTACAATTAACCATAGTAACTTCATTGATGCTTTGTTACCATTGTTAAATGTCCACTTTTCAAGATGGCTCATAGAAGGTGCGTTTGTTGAGCTTTTCTAGTTGACTCTTGTCTCAAAATTGTGTCTGAGGGTTCCAGCAATGCCTGTGTCTACATCAATTTTTCTTTCCTTTCCCTGTTGAAATAGGGAATCAACAGCAGGTGGACAAAGCAATTAACCTGATTGGAAAGAAATTCAAGGAGTTAGACCTCACTAATCTCTATGCTCCTCCAGCTCTGACACTACCTTCATTACCTATGACTTCGTGGGTAAGAATAGATTTTCTGCAATTGCCAATTTTATGGCCAGTTTCTGTTGCCTCTTGCAGCTTGGCAGTGGGTTACACTATGCTTTCACGCTTTAAATCAACCAAACTTAAAAATGTTTATGCTGAAAAGGCCCTGTCTATGCCTGGTGAGGGAGGTGACCATCTACAGGGTTCAAGAAGTAGTTTTTAAGGTGGGACTTGAAGACTAATGGAGGGGTTGTGGGAAGGAGTTCCAGAAACACAGAATTGGAAAGCACAAATACTCCAGTGGACGGTAGGAATCAAAAGAAGAGTTTGCTGTGATTCACGAGAAAGCGAGAAAGAACAATCTACAGTTTTTGTTCTTGTTTTTCATTTACGATCTTTTTGGTGTTTTAGGCTAATTCTGTTCTGAGTTGAATCACTTATTTCAGTATGGTGAGGAATTAAAATCAGGACCCTTTGGCCGCTGAGACTTCAAATTCAAACTTGCTGGCAGCTTCAGATCTAGAGGGTCAGAGCCTAATCATAGAACATTAAAGGGCTGTTTAATCTAAAGTAAATTTAGATGCAGCAGAGATACTGTTTCCGGGCAGATGATCTTTGTATCTTACAAACGGCCATTAATACTTGAACACTTATGACAAGCAACATATATTTGGAGTTGTGTCAAATTTGAGAATTGTACATCTGACCGTGACATAATATCAAAATCCTCAGTATAATTCCAACCTAAAGCTTTTGAACGCTAGTTAAAAGTATAGTATCTCAAATGACTTGTGGATAATCTTATGTGCAAGGGTAGCAGCAGTGAGTGAGTGAACTGACTGACTAAGTGTTTTGCCCACAAATATAGTCAATTCATTACAGTATATTCTGTAAAGTGCTTTGAGACATCTAGAAGACGTGAAAAGTTCTGTATCAAATGCAAGAATTATTTTTACTTTTATTTATTAAGCAACTGACTGCTGGTATTTCGGCAACCACTTTGCTATAAATGGGGAGTCTTCCTGGGGGAGGAAGAGGCTGTAGCGCAGTTCAGGCCTGGGCCTCTTGAGATATAACTTTGACCGGCTCCTCACCTCAACAGGCAGGTTTCAGCCGCATTGTCTCCCTCAATTACATATTTTATGTTTAAGAACTGTTCGTCGCTGTAGTCCGTATTGTGGGAGGGGTGGGGAGAGACGAGGTTATCAGAGGCAGACAGGATAGAAACACCGGTTTATGTGTAATTCTAAGTTTAGAATTGGAATGGAAAGAATTAGTGTCGAGATTATACAACACCACAGTTTTTTTTGGTTTGAGTTCTTTTGAGCCCCTCGATTAGTTACAACCATAATAATATAGATTGCTCAATTAAACGTACCGTGCACCTATAAATCATGTAAATGTTTGTGCAATTGTGGTGGTTCAATGTGCAGTGGGCCCAGGAGCCTCTGTTTGGTAGCTGAGGCACTACAATAGAACCCCTCAACCATGCAGGTCCAAGCATGAAACTGCAATCTATGCTCGCCAGACTACCCAGCTCTTCCCTGCATATCCAAACTTTGCAGCCCATGTCCTTTCTTGGAACAGGTTTCACAAATCCATCTTCCCCATCATCACTCAGCTTTATTGGATCCCCAATGGATCAAGTTGAAAATTGTCATTGTCACCTCCATATATTAAAAAAAGTCCACAGTTTTGCCAAACGTCTTGCATCTTTTCTGCATCTTGCTCAACTCTACCAACCCAGCCACTCCCTTTGCTCAACAGACGAAGCCTGGAGGCTTTGAAGCAGGCAAAGTGGCATGATTCATGTCCTCTGCCCTACCCCATCGGCGCTGGGCAGGCTTTCAACCTTTCTGCACCCCCCACACTCTGGATTCCCTCTGACTCGCTCCTTCCTTCCTTCACCTTGTTCAAGGTCCATCTCAAGATTTAACTCTTGGGTTTTGGTCATGTTTTCCCTCCGTACCCACACCCAACTTGGTTGCCAAGCAAATATTCGTGTCATGAAAGGCGTGCTATATATGTAAAATTGTATTGGACAATGGTATTCTGTCTGGGTGGTACCGGTTTATTCAGGTAAGGAGAGGTAATATTGGTCCTTCTGAACTAGTATGACAAATTGGGCTGGTTCAAAGGGTATTGTATGATTATCAAATATTCTAAAATATGTTTCAGTAAATATCCTGTTGTTGTGAGGGCCGTAGTATTATGGTGGATCGCATTATCAGTTGCTGTGCGCTTATTATAGAAAAGCCCTACAAGTTGGGGCTTGCAGGTAAAACAGCTAACAAGCAATGGGAAACCTTCAAGGAGGAGACAGTTCAGGTACAGAACAAATACATTCCCACAAAGGGGAAAGGTAAGGCATCCAAATTTCCCTGGGTGACTAAGGAAATTGGGATTAAAATAAAACAGAAAAAGGAGGCTTATGATAAATGTCATGTCCAAAATACAGAAGATAATCAAATAGAAAGTACAAATGAGAACTGAAAAGGGAAATAAGAGATAGTATGAGAAAAGATTAGCAGGGAACCCTAAGATATGTTGTAAGCATATAAAGTATAAAAGATTAGTCAGAGGTAGGGTAGGTCTAATTAGGGACCAAAGAGGAAATCTTATTGTGGAGGCAGAGGGCGTGCCTGACGTACTGAATGAGTACTTTGTATCTGTCTTCACAAAAGAAGAGGATACAGCCAATGCCACAGTATCGGAGGAGAGGGTAGAGAAATTGGATAAGATAAGAATAAACCAAGAAGGGGTACTAAAAAGTTGGCGGTGCTCAAGGTAGATAAGTTACCTGGTCCGGATGGGATGCATCCTAGGTTACTGAAAGAAGTGAGGGTGGAAATAATGGAGGCTCTGGCCACAATCTTTCAAACCTCCTTGGAAACTGGGGTCGTGCCAGAGAACTGGAAGGTTGCAAATGTTACTCCCCTGTACAAAAAGGGGCAGAAGGATAAACCCGGGAACTACAGGCCAGTCAGCCTAACATCAATAGTGGGGAAACTCCTGGAGACTATAATCCGGGACAGAATACATTTTCACTTACAAAAATATGGGTTAATGAAGGACAGCCAACATGGGTTTGTTAAAGGCAAATAAGGTCTAACAAGCATGATAGAGTTTTTGGATGAAGTAAGGGAGAGGGTGGATGAAGGTAGTGCAGTTGATGTAGTTTATATGGATTTTCAAAGTGCCACACAAGAGAAGCACATGGTATTAAAGGAACAGCGGCAGCATGAATACAGAGCTGTCTGAACAGGAAGCAGAGTGCTGGTGAACGGTCATTTTTTTGACTGGAGGGAAGTGTGCAGTGATGTCCTGCAGGGGTCAGTATTGGGACCACTGCTGTTTTCAATCTATATAAATGACCTAGACTTGGGTTTAAAGTGTACAATTTCCAAGTTTGCAGATGATACTAAGCTAGGAAAAGTAAATAATGAGGAGGATAGTCGCAGACTGCAAGGGAACATTGACAAATTGGTAAAATGGGCAGACACATGGCAGATTAAGTATAGTGTGGAGAAATGCAAAGTGATGCATTTTGGAAGGAAGAATGAGGTAGATAAAGAATGACAGGTAGATAAAGCTGTTATATTAAAAAAAAAGGCTTTATAAATAGGGGCATAGAATTCAAAAGTCAGAAAGTTATGATGAACCTTTATAAAACTGGTTAGGCCTCAGCTGGAGTTCAGTTCTGGGCACCACACTTTAGGAAGGATGTCAAGGCATTTGGAGAGGGTGCAAAGGAGATTTACCAGGAATGAGGGACTTCAGTTATCAGGAGAGGCTAGAGCAGCTAAGATTATTCTCCTTGGAACAGAGAAGGTTAAGAGGAGGCTTAATAAAAGTTTTCAAAATTGTGAGGGGATTCAATAGGGTGAACAAGGAGAAACTATTTCCACTGGCTGGAGGTTCGGTAACCCGAGGACACAGATTTAAAATAGTTTTTGAAAGAAACAGAGGGGAGTAGAGGAGAATTTTTTTCACACAGTGATTTGTTCAGATCTGGAATGCATTGCCTGAAAGGGTGGTGGAAGCTGATTCGATAACAACTTTTAAGAGAGAAGTAGATAATTATTTGGGGAGGACAAGTTTGCAGGGCTATGGGGAGAGAGTGGGGGAACGGGATTGATTTAGGTAACTCTTTTCAAAGAGTCAGCACAGACACGATGGGCCGAATGGCCTCCTTCTGTGCTGTATAATTCTACAACAACAACAAGATTCTATTTATAGAGCGCCTTTCACGTCGGAAATATATTCTATGATATGAAGTTGAATTAAGCCTAATGTCCTTTGATATATTTGGGGTTCTTTGTGCCCATTAAATACTGGTTTGAATCTTCCACAGCTCATGCTTCCAGATGGGGTGACTGTTGAAGTGATGGTGGTGAACATTGTCCATGCAGGGCACATGTTTATACAGCAGCATACCCACCCCACGTACCACGCATTGCGTAATATGGATCAACAAATGTTCCTCTGTTATTCCCAGCCAGGCATCCCAGCACTACCAACTTCTACTGAAGGTGAGCATTTCTAGTCTGTTTTTGAAGGGATCAGAAATCATGACAAAAGGATTAGGTTTCTTAAAGATCCCCCCGTTAGCAATTAATATCTTATTACTATCAAGGCTTAAATATCTAGTCTTAATTGTGCAGGGTTAATAAGAAACCTAGTTCCATGCTAGCTTTTAATCTTAAATTGCCAGCTGGTACACAACTAGGATTTAAGAATGTTCCTTCTCCAATACTATTGTAGCAGAAATTTTAGTCATGTTTAAATATATATGTGTGTGTGTGTGTATATATATATATCACTCTCTCGCTCCTACAGTTGGTGTCATCTGTGCTGCTCCTGCTGTGGACGGGGCCTGGTGGAGGGCTCAAGTTGTTGCTTATTTAAAAGAAACAAATGAAGTTGAAATTCGATACGTTGACTATGGTGGCTATGAGCGAGTTAAAATGGACGTCCTTAAGCAAATCAGGTAACATACAGGCTAGATTCATTGTAGCCATCTGAATGTTTGTGGAAATCGTGGGTAGAAACTGTAAACGTCTAGGTAATTCAGTACAGTGGGATCCTGTTACAAAACTATCGGAAGCTAATGTCTAGGTTTGAAGTCTTGAGACAGCTGCTGGATGTACAGATGTGACCTGAGGTTACTGCCCCGAACACTGACTCCTTTACCAATCTTCCTCCCCTTTCTCTTTTTCCTGCCCCACTCTGGAAGATTGTTTACTTGTTAGTGGCTAGTTTTAATGTGAACAGAAGAATAATACTGACCATAATTGCTCTTGTGATATCTGAATGGGTTTTTATTTTTGTTTTAAGGTCTGATTTTGTAACACTACCTTTCCAAAGCACTGAGGTCCTTCTGGACAACATTGTGCCTGTCCCAGGTAAGCAATGTTCAAGGATTCAGAAGGACATGAGATTAACTTTACCAGATTGCATTCTGGGCTTCTTGAGCTGAAAACGATTACCATCTAGTTAAAGCACCTGTGATCTCAATTGGTGATTAATCTTGTAGATCTCATCATAATTTATGCCTTTTAAACTTCAGTACAACCTTTTTAGTGCAGTAACACATGATCCCTGAAAGATGGAGATTAATTTGTGTTGTGCTTTTGGCTGAAAGGTGACATTTTGTCTTGCTGTTCATCTAAAATCTAAAATATCCAGAATTGCAGCACAAAAATGTTTGCTGTGTTGGCTATAGCCCGTACAGTGTGGATGCCTAACCTAAGTCTTTAAAGGGAACTTGCTTTGAGTGAAGCAGTGCTCATAATAATAATTTTTGCATTTGATATAATGCCTTATCGCGTCTTTAAAACGTCTCAAAGCGCTTCACAGAATATACTATAAAGTGACTTGACTATTTTTGTGGGCAAAATTTAGCTGTACAAAGGAAATATGAAGTGATTAAGCAGCGTTTTCATTGGTAGCAATTGTTGAAACTGATTGACAAGGGAAGAGTTTCACAGCACTTGTTTTTGGAGGGCAATTGGTCTGAAATTAAGTCTTACTGCATCACTTATATACTGAAAGGCTAATGAGTCAATTTGACTTGATCGTTTCACCAGATAATGTGAAGACTACAACAACAAAAAAAATACATTTGTAGAGCGCTTTTCACGTCAGGAGGAAGTCCCATGGCACGAGGAATACTCGTTCACTCTCGTAGTTTTAAACTTTTGGAATTTGACTTACTCGGTCCTAGAGTCCTCTAGCTGGCAGAAATCTGTATTGCATGGCTATATCTTTCTTTATTTGGGGTAACCTCGTAATGCAAAATATTTGACTTGAATTATTTCAACCTACAAATCCCAGAGTAACTTTGCGATTGTTCTTGTGGTACAGGTGAGGACCAATTCTCAGAGGAAGCAAATGCAGCTATTGACGAACTGACACGTGGTGCAGCTCTGCTTGCACAGGTATGCATACTTCTTGCCAATGTTAAACTGCATTTCATTATAAACTTCAATTTCATTGCAACCCCTTGTCAGGAGCTCTCGTAACTGCTTCCAGGAGTTACGGAATTAGGCATGGGAGGTTTCTTCAGGGGACTTAGCTTTAGAGCTGGTGCTGGGAGTGGTCTGTGGAAATTCTCCTAGGAGTGGACTTAATGGGCTGCTGTTTCAGTATGTAGTATGTTTGGCTTTAAACATCTGAAATGTGTTCAGGAAGCAAGTGCTGCTGCTCTAAACCACAACTGAGATAGTTTTGATATAAAAAAAAATCCTGATCTGAGATGATATGAACAATAGTTCATTAGAAAGGTCCCTAAGCTGCTTTAAGTGGATTATATCAAGTTTGTTCATAGGTTATTGCCTAAGTGTCAGATCAGTGGTAATCTTCTGCAGTACTTTTTAACAAAAAATTGTATCTGTTGTATCACTGTCAGTTTATTTAACATCACATTTCCCCCCTCAAAGCTGCAGATGAGCTTCAAATATCAGATTGCACCTCATTATGTATTCTAAGCCCAGAAAGCTATAGCTTGATCTGGTAGCAGTGCCAAGTTTTTTGAATCTCTTGTCCTAAGAGTACATCTCCACTCTGCTGTCTTATATATCTCTGTCCAGGTGGAGCATATCTGGGAGCATAGCTGTAAAATTGTCAAGTGCTCCATCTTGGCAAATCACTGTAACTAGGCATAGAAGTGGATTGTCATCCGTTGCCTGATCTACCATTGTCTGGAAATGTCTTTTGCCCTGAGTGATTGGGTTGGTTGGTGTTGCATTAGAATATGCCTCACAGAAACAAGCCATTCGGCCTAACTGGTTATGCTCCACATGCGCTCTCTCTGTTGACCAGGGAGATGATCAGGATATTCCAGTGTCCCCTGTGAGGCTAAACCTAGGCAGATTTCTGTTGTAAATGTGAAAGTTTAAACGTTTGCTGCAGATTTTTTCATTAATAAGAATAATTTTTGCATTTGATCTAGCATCTTTCTTATCAAGAGGACATCGCTCAAAAGTGCTTCACATGAGTTGCTGTAAAGTGTAGTGTCTGTTTCATAGGTGAACACAATAGCCAATATGGTACATGTTTGTTCCACAAACAGCCATTTGGTGAACATCCAGTTTTATCAAGGGGATTGTTGGCCAGGATACCAAGGAAAACTAATTTCTCTTTTCAAATTGTGCAACATGATTTTTAACTTCTTCCTGGACAGGACATTGGTTTAACCTCTGATTCAAAGATATAGCACCTTCAACAATACAGTGCTCCCTTGGCATTGGAGCATTAGCCTGGGCTATGATTTTAAAGTCCTGATGTGGGGCTTGAATCCACAACATAACTCTGACGTGAGAGTCCTGCCAACTGAGCCATGCTGACACTTAGAATACCTTGGATGGCTTGAGAAGGTGGCTTGTGGCATATCTGCTTAGTCTTCAGCAGAAGTTGGAATACAGTTGAGTGCGGGAGGCAGAGGCAAATTCTTGTACAAACTTTATTGAATTGTTGTGGTATTGCTTTTGTTTGGTTGCAGGTAACTGGTTATGACGGCACTGGTCTGCCTTTAATACACTTGTGGAGTATGGTTGGAGAGGAGGTAAGGTGGTCTGTCTAATTGGATTATCCAACCAATGCATGTGGTTGGATTAATGCTTCATTTGTTTCTTGTGTAACCTTTTTTTACCGTGCAATTCTCCAAATCTTCCTCAGTTTCTTTATTTAAGAAGCCATCACTTCTGAACTCGCAAATTGCTGAGAATTTAGTCTATTCATCTGTTTTCATCATTATCCAATATGATTTTTTGTTCTTGATGATGCACTTTCCTCTTCTACTCTCCCTCACATTAATCTTGTCTTCCATTAATAACATCTTCTTACAAGATCAGCAGATCACTCGCTTCATCTTGCATTTAGAAGGAAGAATTCAGAGGCATTAACAATCCAGATGTAATGGATGAAGTACTTGTGGAACAAATCTGTCAGATGTTTTTCTCCTCTCCCCATGTCTACCTTGGTGGTGGTTGGTGTTGAATTAACCAGGGTATTCAATTGGCTCACTTTCTTGTCAAACTGAAGAGATTCACTGCAGAAATAGCATACTTATTGACTGACTTTCTTAAATACCAGTGAATTTACATACTTCTGGTGGAATAATTAGTCTAGAATTATTGAATATCAAATATTTGATCTTTGAACTTCAACATAGTTTTAAAGGCCTACTGCAGTCCCAGAGGTTCATTACTACAGCCAGCTTGTGCTTCTGGTTAGCTATCTTGTATTGTTGCTTTTTATAGCTTTGCAACAAAATTGTGTGCTGTTCTCAAGCAAAGTGTACACCTTATTCAACGTTTTGCCATTCTGCACTTAGGTTGACAGGTTATTCATGTTGCTGCTCAACTGTAATTTCATTGTAATTTTTAAAAACATTCCATTGTTAACACAACTTGATGTGAAGTAAATCTCTTCTTCAAACCCCCCAGCTTTGCATGTGACCGTATTGTCTGCTTTTAACCTGCTTAATGTCTACAAGAAAATTGGTTCAGTACCTACCCACTGAGTTGGTGGCTATTCCTTTCGGGTGGGGGGGGGTGCATTCTAGAGATGCATTTTGCTCATGCATGGCAATGTTTTGTAATTTGCCAACTTGTGTTGGTTCTGGACTGAAATAAAGTCCTAATGTTCGTCTTAAACCAACAGCCCTTTGACATTTGAGTTCTACCAACTGTGGCTTATCTAATCTGAAGCAAATCTCGATGGAGAGAACTATTCATTGACCCAGTTCAGGCTGTATTCAACCTTAAATGTTGCTGACCACACAATGCTGTTTTAACTTCTACTGCTGGAAATGCCCAGTGAGTTCATGTGAATATTTCTCATGACACCACTTGGAGTGTACTGAAGCTTTTCTTTTCTTTCCCTCTTAAAGGTCATGTTTTTAAACCGAATTCTGGTGGAGAAAGGACATGCACAGTGGATTGAAAGCTACTAGTCGACCCGAGATCCTTTTCTAAACAACTCATTTTGCACTGCATTGTAATTCATTTGCTGGCTGTGCAGATGTGTATATAAGTCACTGTATTAATATTTTGTAAAATCACACTGGAGAACATAAAGGGAACTTTTTTGGAAAAATCATGAATCCATTAGGTAGAAATGATTTGATGTGCTCGCTCAGTTAAGTCATGTCTGATCAATTTGATATTTAAGGAATTGAAAACCAACGAGTTGTGTCTTTGTACAGAATAGTTTTTGCTAGATTATGAACAGTATAAAATTGTGATCAATGAACTTTGCTACTTGGTTGTACAGACCTGTAAAAAGTACGAAAAAAACTGACGAACTGAGCTTGTGTGGTGTGTGTTTTTTAAATTATAACTTGGAGCTTCTCACAATCATTGTCATTGTCCCTTTTCTTTGAGTCTGCAGTGAAAAGGTATCTATCCCTCTGAATACTTACAGCTCAGGTTTTTGAAGTACAGTTGGCTGGCTCACTGAAGTGGATCGATCACAAGGATGTTTTGTGTAATGGAGTTCAGTACATTCTTCTCCCCTTGAATGACTGGTGCTGAAGTCGTAGATGCTCCCAGCAGTACCTCACTCGAAGTGTTCATACTCAGCCTGTACAGTGCTTATAAGCAGGCTAGGTGTGGGGAGAGACGGAGAAGGAATCAATCAAGTCTGTTTTTCCCACAATGGTTGTGGGAAAGCAAAGTGAAACTCGATTCACTAATTCTGTACGTTCATTTGGGTGCTATACCCAAACTCATGCTCATTCTGCACAGACCTGTGTCCCTTGAATTTCTGGGTGTTGATTTGGGGATTTACAAACTCGCATTAAGGGAACCCCTGTACACTTATGTACAACTTGCTATTCAGGAACGAATAATGGACTGACTTATTTTACCCTTATTAGGGCATCAGTTGGTTTAAGATTTTGGTCATCTGCTTCCTGCACAAATGGGATTGCTTTTGGAGACTCGACAGTTGTCAAGGGCAGAGAGGTGAGTCTCTCCCCACCCCTGGTTAAACTAGGAAAGTGGCAGGTCAGTTTACAATTGAACCCGTTGTACCATGAAAAGTAACCTGTTGGATTCAATCTAGTTTGTTCTGGAAATTATCTTCATTTCTGAGAATTGGTGTAACTGTACAGTGTTGGGTTGTATATTGCTCACAACCAGATTAAATCCTTGCATTTGATCTAGTGCCTTTGCATTGTTAATGTGTCAAGTGCTTCACAGGATTGTAGTGCAGTGACTAATTTTAGGCAACCTCAGCTATTATCCTAGAAATTTAAACCAAGGGTAATGTGATCCAAGCAAGCACACAAAATGAACAGACTTGGAAGAATTGACTCATTTTAAATCTGCATGGAATGAGGTTGGGATCGATTGTGTTTTGTGTGTGCGCACTGCGGCAACAAGATAGCAGGCTTCACTTTGTGGTGGTATCAGGCTTTTGGATTGGCTCAGATCAGGAATTCAACAGTTAAATTGGTATGCATCTTGGGTCAGGTGTTTCAATAAACTGCATTCCCTTTTTCCACCCCAAACACACACACATTTTCCCTCTTGAGCTGGGAGCCGATCAACTCACCTGCTTTATGGAGTCCTGTAGCTCAGTGGTTAGAGCACTCGCTTTGCAAGCGAGAGACCTGAGTTCAATTCCAGGCAGGGCGAAACTTTGGGCAAGTTTCCTTACTCCACACGCCTAATAATAATCCCTCCAAAACCAAAAAAATAAACAATAATAAATTGGTCATTTTCAATCTACGACTGTTTGTGGGACATTGCTGTGCGCAATTGGCTGCCGCGTTCGCCCACAAATATACAGTCAATTCACTTTACAGTATATTCTGTGAAGCGCTTTGGGACGTCCTCCCGACGTGAAAAGCGCTATATCAAATGCAAGGATTATTATTATTATTATTATTATTCAGTCAATTTAACAACACCAGCTGCCAAGTCTCATATAATAGATGTGTAAATCCCATGGACCTGCACTGTACACATGGAGTGAGTGAGCAGTCTTACTGTGATGCAGTATGTTTGCTCTGAAAATAGCAACTGAAGTAACCGTGCTTAAAATAAATCAATCACTTTAGGGGACTATGTATAATTATCGCTTCACAAGGTTATTCTTTGGCTTTTCCTAAAATCAGTGATATTTTAAAATATCACTCTATTGCAATATTAACCCTCTCTTTGCTTTCTCCCCAGAGTAATACGTCTCCTTGCTAAGTAAGGAATTGACACCCCCTACTCAATCACTTAACCTGATCTAAAATTTGGCCTTGTACCTGTCTTTCACAATCTGTCCAAAAACTCACCTGAGCATGTTTTTGGCCACCTTACCTACCTCCTGTGACAGCCTGGCTCAGTTGGTAGCACTCTTGCCTTGAGAGTCAAGTTTGTGGGTTCAAGCCCCATATCGTGACTTTAAACACACATCTCTAGGCAGACGTTCCAATGCTGTGCTGGTGGTCTGCTGTCCTCATCGACGATGTTGTCTTGTCTGACCGTGAGCAGGTAGATTCCGGTACAGCAATAGGCTTGGATTAAATGAGGTGTTTGTGCCTGTTATTGGCCACAGGGATTTGAGATGATAATACTTGTATTTTATATAGTGCCTTTTGTCTTTGAGACGTCTCAAAGCGCTTCACAGTCTGTTTTTCCGGTAAATCTGTTTTTCCAACTAGAAACTTTTACTGTAGACATAACAGTAAAAAAAAAGCAGAAAATTGCTGGACATAATTTCTCCAGTAAGCAAAGATGCTTTGAACGCAAGTTGGGAATCGTAGCATGAAGCTCACCATTTGGGACCACAGGACGCACTTGTTGGGGCTTTGGCTCATAGGTATGAGTTCATGTCTTCATAGAGTTGTAAACTTATAGACTCCCTAGGGACACAGTGAAAACAGAAAATGTCATTGGTTTCAAGAACAAATTAGATTAATTTCTGTTAGAAAATAATATCTCAGTATATAGTTTGGGACACATGTCAAGTGACTGCCAGGATGGTGGAAGGTGAACTAGATGGACCTTGGTCTTCTTTCACCTAGCAAATTCTTATGTTCACCTTGGAGATTATGTGTTGGGTGTCGTACACATTTGGCTAAGCCTAAGAGTTTGGGTTGTAAGAGTGAATCGGTGAACCCACTCAGGAATGGACTCCAGAACTTTTGCAAAGTCTCCACAGGCTGAAATACCTGAGACGGTGAACACAAATAATAAAGTAAGTGAAATCACAGGAAAGGAGATCTTGGTGTTATGGAATCCAGGTTGAAACAAGACGGTCTGTTCAGACGAATTCACCGGAGAAGTTGGGAGGAGGAAACTTGTCCAGTATTTTATAATGATTGTTGTGTACTTAATGAGCAACTGGACCTGCCCAATAAATAAGTAAACTGAGAGCAATTTGTGAGAAGTGGTTTAGAAAGCTGCTGCACATCAACAACTCTGGCTCATTTACTCTTGTATCCCAGCAGCCGAAAAAGAAGGTAATTCAGATTTTTTGGAGAAAGTTATTGCTGGTGAACTTTCATCAAAACCTCTGGGTATTTATGGTGAAAATCTTTATTTTAAAAAAAGCCTTTAAAGATCCCTAATCATTCCCCTCCCCAGCACCATGCTCTGCCATACATTTAAGGACCTTCTCTCCCACTCCCACACACACAGATCCATGCGTGGGTACTGTCCAACCCAGTATCCCCACACTCGTGATGCTATCTATGGCCCTTGGGTTAAAAGTCACATTATGCAAGGAAACCGACTGTTTTGCTCTCCATGACCACGAGGGGGCACGTTTGTACTTTTTAAAATAAATGTGTTTTTAAATTGGGGAGAAAATGTTCTTAATGTTGTGCTCGGATTTCTTGATGACTCAGTGTGCAAATGCAGCAACTAAACTTTCAGGAAGGACCCTGATTAAGCACCCAGTTTGGACTAAGATAGCTAATCTCAACCTGGCAGGAATGGCTACCCTCCCCGATCCTACCCCCCCCCCCCCCCCCCAGCTCAGGTCCAAATTCCTGACTGTCCAGTGCCCTGAGGCGTCCTCCCGATGTGAAAGGCACCATCTAAATGAAATTTTGAATTGTAATTCTTGAATTTGATATAGTGCCTTATCACATCATCAAGCCATCTCAAAGCATATCACAGAATATACTGGAAAGTGAAGTGACTGCATATTTTGTGGGTGAAATGCGGCAGCCAGTTTGCGCACAGAGATGTCCCACAAACAGCTGTGGAGTGAGTGACTGATTTTATTTGAGGGATTTGTTGGTCAGCACACCTGAAGAAATTTCCTTCTCTTTTCAAAGCGTGCCAGGGATCTTTAATGTTCACCTGAACAGGCGGACGGGACCTCAGTTTAACATCTCATCCAATAGACAAAATGCCCAACAACGCAACACCCCCCATTGCATTGGTATCAGCTTAGATTTGCGATACCAAGTGCCTCAGGCTCCTGCTCACTCCTCATCCTCCCCTTTAATATTCCTCTTTAAGAGCCTCCCCAAGTCTCCACTGAAAGTCTCAACTATGCTTTGCGGCAGAGGATACCACCCTCTGTGTCAAGCCCTTTTTATTCCTAACCTCTTTTAATTTTTTTTGCAATTATCCTAAATTTGCGACCTCCAGTGACTCACTTGACCACCTTATGGTTCTTTCCATGAGAGGAGCCGAGTTCAATTCTCAGCAAGGCGAAACATGCATGTTTCCTTACTCTACACACCTCTGTTTACCTAGCAGTAAGTAGGAACTTAGTTGTCAGTCGGTTGGCAGATCTGGGGTAATAATCCTGTCAAAAAATAATAATAATAATTTGGTCATTCAATCCATGACTGTTTGTGGGACTCTGCTGTGCGCAATTGGCTGCCGTGTTTCACCCACAAAATATACAGTCAATTCACTAAGTATATCTTGTGAAGCGCTTTGAGACATCTAGAAGACGTGTTAAGGTGCTATATCAAATGCAAGGATTAATATGACTTGGCATCATCGGACACTGATCATTTCACCATTTTGCTACTTTCGATCTGTGTCGGCTGTGCAGTGAGTACACTGGTGCAGTGGCGTCTTAGTGAAATCAGAGTTAATAACAGGCTTCTGTCCCCTAAAAATCAGCTGCAATCAAAGCTCTTTAAACGTAATCTAAATGAGGGAGAACTGTGTGCAATTTTCTGAACAACAGTCTGTGCATATAAATAATGTGTCAAATTCTATAGTTAACAGATCCTGTTGAGTGAGTTGGTGAGGTGAGTCCAGTGAATACGGTTTCATTAGTTGTGGATTATGTGGTACTAATTAACATCTTAAACACTTATTTGTTAATGTGGATTGACTGCTGTGTTCACTTACAAGTACACAGTCACTTCACGATAAAATCCTTTGAAGCA